TTGCACTACAATGAACCTACAACAATTTCAAAGAGCATAAACAAAATATCTAAAAATAATTTTTGTAATAATGTACACCTTAGCCTAATCAATATTTTATTATGAACATAGTTTAATTAGTACAGAGAAGGGAAATGCCATTTCAGAATATTTGTTAGTGTGTTTTCTCTTATTGTTCTATTTAGATACTTGTCATGAATCAAAGTGAAAATGCAGAGCACATGGAGAAATAACATTAGTAGCTACTCACAGGTCTAAATTCATGAATACACATTCCCTTCTGTACTGATTATTTTATCAGCTCTTTTCTGCTAATTGCAGCATCTGAGTTATTCGCATTGCTACAGATGGACAAAAGTTGCTCGGAGAAACTATTTCAAGAAAATTTTTTATTCAGAACTATAAGCCTCAGAGGAACGGCTCACTGTCCTTTTTATCTTCTCTCCATCTCATTAATCAGAAGTAAATTCCTGCAGTATCAGGATAGGAACTAAACTTCAAAAGATCAAAATCCGTAATGTGTTTTCAAAGAACACATTAAGTCAATTAAAATTACCTGGATTTTTGTACGGGGAAAAAAGGATCATGACCACTCTTATTTCCAGTATAACCATGCCATGCCTGAAAAAGAGCCACTGTTCTTGACACACAGTGTCCATTTTGTATTAATTATGTAGTATTAAATGATGCCATTTCTAACTAAGTAAAAGGGGCCTTATTTTGTGCAACAGGGCTTAATGTGACTTTTTAAAAAATCACAGCGATTCAGTTTTTGCAGTGTCATAAAAGCAGTGTAACAACCAATAAACATTAATGTATTGTAATAGAAACAGCTAATCCAAACCAATAAATTAGTTTTCCCTCTTGACAGGCAGGCAACAACCTTAGAAATGAATATTGCTGAATAATGTCTTGTGTCTTCCCAGCACTTCCCACCTCATGGCCTTCTGCTCTCCACTGAAGCCTTCCACACTAACTCTCCTGTACATTACACATGATTAGAAGCTTCTAATCAAGCCAGATTAGAGAGAATAACTATCTACCTAGGGGGAAAAAAGCAAAACCTCTGTTTGAGACATTGTAAATGGATGATTCCAAGATGAAGAACTACTTTAAATAGTTATAAACATGTAGAGTACTTCCTGCCCCTATGTACACCAACACATATATAAAATAGTTCCAGTTAGGCTGTGAGAAAATATCACAAAGAATATGAAGACCAAAAAAGCAAACTAAATGTGGGCTGTGATATCAAAGTACAGATGCTGAAAGCATACACATTCAGAAATAACAACTTTCAAAAGAAAAACATAGGAATGTCCAAGTTACTGTCCATAAACTTCCTCATGGATCTCCTTCTGCTTCTAAAAGGTTTAATTTCAATTTTCCTGTTGAAACAGATCCTACTCTTTCAAACTAATTCATTTATTTGGCAAATTTATTTTCTTTTATAATCCTACTTTCCAGGATGTTTTTAAGGCTTCCCAATCTTGCCATTATCTGGATGCATAACACATCCATCCTTTAGGACACTGATGAAAGCCTCAAGCACATGACAGATCCCTACCAGACCCTACTGGAAACCTTTTTAATTTCACCATGAATCATTGATAATTACACTTTGACATAGGCTTCCAATCCAGTACTTCTCCATGTAGTAGCAATTTTCTGTCATATGCTTCCCACCAACTCACTAAAGGAAAATCTTTTGAGACAAAGTTTCTTAACATCAATATGTTGCTACTACTCTTCCATTATGCATAAGGTGTGTTTTCCTGTCACCCAAGACAAATCAGATGTCTCTGACATTATTTTTGATCAATCCTTATTGGGTGAGTATTTTTTTACTTTCCGTCTCTATATTTAGAAATAGCTGATGATTTCTAAAAATACAGCTTCCAAATAATTCTTTGGGTTTTGCAATATTTTTTCAGAAACCGCTATAAAAATATGACACACATTTCACTCATTCTCTCATTTCACTTAATTTTTGGCAGGCAGATTTGCCCTTCTCCAGTCTCCTGGGAGCTCCCAAACTTTGCTAGGAGACCCAGAAATCCAGACAGGGTCACTTCCATCATGGGCAGCCAATGTGAAAACACTTTTTAGTGTTTCAGAGTGAAACAACTCAGCTTTTAAGAAAGTTTTCTAAGCCAACAAAAACCTGAGAGACACAAGGACAGACTGACCACTTTTAGGATAGAGGTGATAGAGCACATCACCTTTTTTGTTTTTTAAAATTACAGCTTTTTGATTGTTCTAATTTAAATTAGTTGTTTGAAAGAATCAATAGCCTCCTGAATAAGTGTGACAAACAAGCTGACACAGCCAGCTTGGGCTTCCAAAGCCATTCCTTCAGAAAGGCTCCTCTCCAAATGCTTACAATAAAAGTAAGCAGCAATTACATATGAGCATGGGTACTTTTATACACAAATATTTAATTACAAGAGAGGAAATAGCAGAAACACATGGCTGACTCCTAAAACCAACAGAAGGACCCTGGAGTTTTGCTGGAACCTGTGGCTGGGGTTTGTGCTGACTGACACTTCCTGAGTAGCCCAAAGAACAGGGTGATCAGTAAGATGACTGATTTTCCTCATGGTGTTTGCTTATTCAAGGCAGTGAAGACAAAAGCCAAATGCAAAGAAGAATTTTGTAAGACTGAGCAAATAGTCGCTGGCAGATGAAATTCAGGGAGATTAAAGTGACAAACAAGTAAAAATAATCCTACCTTTAAGCATAACAAGCTGGGATCTAAACTGGTTAGAATGAATGGTGAGGGATTTTTCAGCTATGATAAATATTCCCATTGAGATATTAGCTTAGTACTCAGTAGCAGCAAAAATAAAGGCATCCAAAACTGGAAAGAAGAAACTAATTGTTGGGAATTTCTGTGAGAGACACACAGAATGAAAGGGCAAACACTACAACATCAACACAACTCATTTTACACCTTATCAAAAACATAAGATGTTTTGGTCCCCTTGCCTCAAAAAAAAAAAAAAAAAACCACAAATCCCAAACATTTAACAGGTCTGAAAAACATCATGTTACTGTTTCACAAGGAATTATCACACATGGTAAAATGCTGCTGTCTGGAAAAGAGCTGAGGGAGGGATGTGATGATGGCACTGTAAAATCCTAAGCGGCACTGAGACTGGCACCAGACATCAATTATTTATTGCTTCTTTCAATATAAGGAGCAAGAAATCCTAGCAAAAGCAGCCAAAGTCTAGTGCAAAACCAAATGAAAGCAGTGGTTCCTCACAGGTATGTTAGGCTGTAAGAGCCTGTGGACACTGGCATTTTAAACAGGTCCAAAAGTAACTGGCTGAATGTAAAGTTCACTGAGTTATTAAGCACAAAGAAACAGCAGCTGGATCATAAGGAGCACTCTCTGGGGATACCACTGTACTTGGCCTCTTCTGTGAATGTTTGGACACTTAGCAATGGAATAGAGCTACCCAATCTCTGTGTATTATAGAGGAAGGATTCATGTTAAAAATACACATAGAGGAAAATACATTGCTTTTGTCAGGTTTGCTGTTACAAGAAAATAAGAATTTGGGAAAAAGATACAACATGAATTAATTCATAACTGAGTTACTAGTTTATTTTCCTTCAAGATAAGCAAAACTAGCTTTTAGGGGGAAAAACCAAAACAGAATTGTCATTGGTGTGTGACAAAGTCTCTAAATACCAGATTCAAATTCCAAATGTCAGTATAAGATATTAATGTGACATTTCCATAAGAAATACATGACATACTACTAGAATAATTCTCCTCCTAAGGTGACACCAACTACCACCATTAAAGTATCTAACCAGCAAAGTTTTTGAAAAACAGAACCTCCACCACGCATCTTTTTGTTAAGATTGGTTCTAGCAGCATCCTAGTGCATCTGCTATAAATAAATAATCAGCAACTACTATTATCAGTCTGGATACAAAAGTTATACAAGAAAGCAATAAATTCATTGCACTGAATTCCTGATGACAAGCCAGCCTGTTTCCCACTGAAGTAACTGGTAAGAGACTTGCCAGCTCAGTAGATACTTAGGTTCATGACATGCCTAAAGGTGGAAAGTTTGCTGAGAATCTCTAATTGATCACAAACTTGGAAGTAAATTAAAAATCTCAGTTGTTGCTGCCTGCCAGCAAAGAAGTTTAGATTTGGAATCTGGAAGTGAGAGAAACACAGGACTGTGTTTTTGTCTGGGGAAAGTTAACAGATGGTCTAAAAAGGAGCAGCTTTAAAATTAGACCAGAAGCCAAAAAGTGTGCGGAGAAAGGAAGGATAATTTTTTTATCTATTCTGTGCTGCTGTTTCGTATAGCTTTGTATATGTAGCTGTATATTTGATATAGCAAAGTCTCAATGTTTGACTTCACAGATTTATCCATCCAGACTAAAATATTTGACTGTTTTTATAACTTCAGGAAAATAATGTTACAATGTGAATAGAAGTATTTGAAATACATATTTACAAGATAGTCATTTACTACAAAGCAGGTCTCTGAAATGTTACTGAAAACTTCATTTTGTAATGCAGAAGTACAGAAAGCTGAATATGAGGATTTATCTTGTTTTAACTTTGAAACTGTTAACTCCCTGCACAGCTTAAACAAAATATGCCTCTGGATATTTATTTACACTTTTTCAAAAATGGCTCGTTTACCTCTTCAGAAAATGTTGCCAAGACAGCATTTAGACAGTTGCAAAACAAAACCCCAGAGACTTTCAAACATAAGAGAAAGGGTAACAACAATTATTTTATCCATCTAAAACATGAAGGGATGCTGCATGAAGGAAATTATAATCTGCATTTGGATTCCTATTAGTGTGCTTTCCTGCAGTTTAGTAGTCAGAAGCAGATATACCAAGATATAAAATTCTTGTGGCAAATATCAAACTTGTGCCAGCCCTGGACACAGTACCAAAAGCAAAACATCAAGTGCTTGGTTGTAAATCAATACAAGGAAACTTTCATAATTACTTACCTGATTTTCTTCATGGGAAACTCTCATCTGCTCTTTAAGAACTGACATTCTGGCTGCTTCTTCTTTCCTCAATACTCTCTCTTTCTTTAGCTCAGGACTCCAGAAAGTTTTAATGCTGTTCATAGAGGACCCCAACTTGCTGTCCTTAATGTCTAGTTCTTTTCTGAGAAGGTCATTCTCCCTCTGTAGATCCTTAAGCTGAGCCTGCAGATCTAACATGGTGCTATCCCTAACCTGTCTCAGCATGGAAGGAACCTGGTGGTGGTGGTGGTGTGAGGATGTGGTCAGCCCTCCGTGCTGGTCAGTGTAAGAAAGGACATCTGTGTGTGACAGTCCAGCAGAAGCGATATTGGGGCTGCTCCCCATGGCTGTGACTCGGCCACCATACACAGCTCGATTTGTAGCCCTTCCAAGAGTCATTGTGCCCTTTGGGAAAGTAGTAGAAGCTACACCCTCGTGGTCACTCAGGTACATTGGTCCAGATGTTGCATAGGCTGCGTTAAGGGACTGGATGTTCTCCATGGACAACGTCTTCCCTGTGCCCCCTCCTCCCCCGCTGCTGGTTCTCCTGTGGCCCAGGCGAGGGGACCTTGGCAGGCGGGGAGACCTGGAGGGACTTCCTTCCAAGTTGCTGATTGTTCTTGCACTTCCATACATTTTTCTTCTACTTTGAGGTACTGTTTAGTAAGAAACTAGTAACACTAAAGTTGAATATTAAATTAATAATTCCGGCTAGAAATACTGGCAGTTTCACTGCATTCTTCCAGTAGGCAAAATCAGGTTTACCACCCAAGACAGACCTGAAAAAAGATTATAAAATTAAGTTTTCATTTTGGAAAATAATCTTACAAGTAATCACCATACATCAGAAAAACCAACTTCCCAGAGTAATAACTACAAAAATAAAATCTGCTATACATTTTATATTTAGGATGATTAGTTAAAAATGCATTTTTAAACTAATTTTAATCAAAATAAAATTCCCCATTTCTTTCTTGCTAGAAAACTTCAAGCTAAAGCTTGTTAAAATAAGTTGGAACACACAACATGGGCCCAATACAATACCATACCTTACCTTGTCACTTAAATGACTGACAATATGAAATTTATATGAAGAAAAATATTTCTTATTGGCATAAAAAACTACCCTCTTAAAGCCTCCAGAATTCATTCCCAAGGCACACAGATATAAAGGAATCTTGTTGCTTTGCTTTTCCAAGTTTTGGCATTTTAACATCACTGTCCAAATCTGCCCCTCTTCTCAGCTGTCACGCAGCATTCAAGGGATGACCCACAGCTTGTTCCACCACAAGAACTTGTGCAGCTTTTCTGCTGTCTCAACTTCAACATATCAACCAATAAAAAAAGAAAATTCTCATCATGGTGACTGGGGCAAGGCAACTGCTTATCCTCATTCTCAAGTGTCAGCCATCCTCTGGCCAAGTAACTCAGCAAGCCCTCTGAGAAATCCATCCTTGTATCTTTGTAGCTGCCTGAAATAGTTCTGTAGCACCTTCACAGACAAACCTCCCATGAGACCAGAGCTGAAGATGACTTTACTTCCACTGGGTCCTGGCAGATCCTGAGCAAAAGCAACAAACCTTCGGAACTGACAGAATTCACCCCACCCTCTTGCTCACTCAATAAAAAAAACACAAAAACAAAATACAAACAGCCCCATAAAAAAAAACCCTACAGTCTGGTCTGGTGAAAAAAACAATACTGCTAGCAGGAAATGCCAGTGTCAATTTAAACTGCGCACAATAAAATATCTCTAAATGCAGCAGATATGATACACAGCCAGGTGGTGGGGTTGGGTATAAATTTGTTGATCCTCAGAAGCAGAAGTACAGAATATTTTATTTTATATCATGTCTGTGCTGTTTTTCCTTTTCAGTCTGATAAATCAGCACATTTCTTGCTTAGAGTTACATAATAACTTACTTAGCCTTCTGTTTATGTCTCTAATATATATATTTTAGGTACTTGTTTTGCCTTTTAGAGCTTATTAGTTGTGGTATTCTTTTCTCAACTTGTGTGAAGTTTTGGAAGTTCTTATCTCATATCAGAGAACACTTATCTTGCATAGCACTCCAGTGCTTACCACTAAGCTCTACTGAAAAAAGGATAATCATTCCTTATCCAAAGGGAGGGCTAACTTCTCACTGAACTTCGTAAACAATGTTCCAATGCTGATTCAACATTGTAACTTCCATAAGCTTGGGAAAATTCTGAAAGCAACAGGAAAAGCGAAGCAAAACACCACCAACCAGTGTTATTACCTCCACAGCACTTTCAATTTTTTTTTTTCCCTAGAAGAATTCTAATGAAAACAGAGACCTCTGTGTTGTAAACACAAGCACACTGATGATATGCTTGATTTTCTTATTTTAGCAGGCTATTAAGGACAGCTCACAGACCAAAAGCTGAAAACTCTGACTTTGCAAATGAAAACAGAGAAACCCTAAGAATTTTTTAGTTTGTTACCTTCTACAACCTCAATTATACAGACTGGCTTTCCTGCAAACACCTCAGAAAAAGGCAAGCACACAAAAACATGCCTTTTCAACATGTGTACTTGTTAAGGATAAGACTGGAGCCTTCCTTTATGGCTGGGAAGTCTCAGACACAGTAGAAGCCATACACCATTGCTTTATGAAAGAGGGTAGAAAAAGCACCTACATCATTTTCTTTACTGCTTCTACGTGGAGCCTTCCTAGCTTCAGGAAGATTTACTGTGTGTCTCAACACATCAGGAATTGGAGATATGAAGAAGCAATATCACCCTGAGGACCTCAACAATTGCCACACAGATCATCATCTACTGCCTGGAGAAAAAGAGAGAGGAGAAATTCCATCTTCTCACAGAACCAGCTGACAGAGCCATCCCAGTTGAACTTAGAGTGGACAGGTGAGATATAGACAGCTCTATTTTGAAAGGTAAATTTATTTTATATTGCTATTTTAATTGAAAAGGGAGGAAGGAATACTAATACTCTCAAGTAATAATTCTTTACCAAAGCTGTGGGTGTTGCAGTAGCCGGGACAAAGGAGTCAAAAAGGTCATATCCCCCTAAAGCCTTCCCTGAGAAAAAAAGTCACCCTGCTTCACTCAGTCTGGTAGGGATAGACTGCAGACCCACTACACACCTCTTCCTCTAGTTGAGTTTCAAAATCCAAATCAGCTTAGTACTAGGAAAAAAAAAAAACACAACAGATACTCACCTGCTAGACTCAACATCTTTTTATTTTAAAGAAATGCCTTTAATGTACATGATGTAAAATTAACCATTATAATAATGAATTTATTATTCTGCATTGAAATCAAAACTATATTTTGTGTGGATCCTTTTAGAATCCAGAAAATTAAGCATATGCATTCTCAGTTGGGGGCAGGAGGACAGGCACTAGACACTTTGCCCCGGGCTCTCAGCAGCCTTGCAAACCCCAGCAGACCTGATACCATTCATGCCAAAGTGCCCCCGACACCAGTTAAACTTCAGCTTGCCTCGTTCTCCACATTCCTGCCCCACCTGATCACCTGCATTCTGCACACAGCAACGTCATGGGCTCACATTACTCACATGGCTCAAGTCTGACAACTCACTTGGTCCTTTATCCTTCTAGTTTTTGAGAAACCTGGAGCATAGTATTCTAATACAGATGCTACTAGAAGATCTCACTCAATTTAGTTTCCAAATCCTTACTTCTACATTTAATGTAATTACAGAGTTTGCTTGAAACACTGTATAGAGAGTATCCATAAGCTCTGATTTTTACTGGTTACACACTCGTACATGCTGAGGGATGATTTAGGCTTTTAGTGTCCCCTCCTGTGGCCTGAATCACCTAGTCAGCAGGAAGTTTGGGTATCAGCCAAATACTTAATAGCTTTGCACAACTACTTGCCAATATTAACATTGAGCCAAGAGCTCAAACATTTGTAAAAGTACCAAAAGCTTTAAGGAAACCTCTTCTTTAGAGTTAACCTTCCCCAAGAATATATGCTGACAATTAAGTGCAGAAATTATCAATCTGATTCCAAACTGCCTAAAACAGTTTAGTACTATACAACTCCCCAAATATAAACCAAAAGAAGCAAAATAGGGGAAAAAAAAAAAAAAAAAAAGTGACGTAGAACACAATGCTTGTATTTTCTCTGCCAGAACTGCACTTTGAGGCACCACAAGAGGAAGGAGATAGACAGAAAAAAATCTGTTCCATAAAAACATGTCCTAGCAAACAATGATTTCTTTATTTTGATAACGTCTTTTAAATACTCTTATTTAAAACACAACATCTCCATACACAGGAAGACCAGGAGCACATCTATATCAGAAATAGTGACTAAGAGTCAGAAATATTTCTAACACTTTCTTCTGTTTTACCTAGGTTTTCTACTGCTTTCATAGCAGCACAATACATTTGCACAGCAGAGAATACTCTTGTCTTCACATTTATTATCAGTGCTGATGTAAAAGAAAAAAAAAGGGCAGCAAGCTGATACCAACTAGATACAGAAAACCCAAATCTGTTGTAGAGTAACCTTCCTTTCTTCATTAATCTAAGTGGACAGCCTGGCACGCCTTCTTTTAATAAAGTCAAGGAAAAAAAGATAAATACAATGGTGTTAGTGTAAGACCAGCATTGTTTCTATTAAAAGGACAAAATACTCTCTTTTCCTGCTTAGCAGGCTGACCAAGTAACTTCTTCTCCCCACCTTTTTTTAAACCAAAAAAGAAAAAAATCCATTTCTTCCTGCTACTCTACTATTCCTTACAAGTTTGAAAAACAAAGCGTATATGCCAACTTCAAAAGCAACATTTTCATTTAGGCTGCTTACAGTGTCCTGAATCTGCATTTCCTATGTAAATTTGAATTTTACTACAGTCTGCACGCTACATTGCTTTTTACTAGTTAACAGACATTAATTTATCCCCTCTCTTGTAGCTTGTTGTAAAAACTACACATATGTAGTTGTAAATAAAGTTAGTTCCAAAGCCTGTTTTAATCTTGCGAGCTGCTCGTGTCCCTGAGCTCCCATCAGCGCTAAAAGGAAGAACTGGCATTTATCACCTCACAGGAGCAGTTCACATCAGGCCTGCCTTTCCTTTCCCTTTCACAAAGAAGAAAATATGAAGGCAAAAGTAGGAGTGGCTGCTTAACATGCATCTAATGACATATATGGAAAATAAAGTTGTCAGGCACTCTAAAGCTGTCGGGTACAGTGACAGCAATGAATACTTGTCATGCAATCAGAAAACTCCACCAATTGAAATATTTGCTCAAAATGCTGTATTAAAAAAATCTTGAAAAGCAAGCAGTTCTGACACCATTATCAGGACTCTCAATTATATTACTCTCAAATATACTTAAGTGAAGGGTCAACAATACATTTTTAACTCTTTTATAAAGTTTCATGGGTTTAAAACAAGCCTAATGTTCAAGAATGGTGCATTTCTTTCAAAGCTTTTTACTCTTTATTACAATGTTTGAGACATTGTAATTGTTTTAAAACATAATAGCTAGAAGTAGACTTGAAATAATATAAGTAATATTTAAACTCCATCAGTTGACACTTCCATTATTTTATAACTTTTAAATTAGGTCTCTTTGTTGCTCAAACTTCAATTCTTAACGTTTTATCTCTAACACTT